GACTCAGTGCCCTACATAAGGGGAGCAGATTTGCACACAAGTCCTGCTAGTGAGCCTCTGCCAAATCACCCCAGTCGTAGCATCCTGTATGATGCTCAAAAGGGCTGAGTCTGTGCAGATGACACAGCAGCAAAGGCACAGTGTAACTGAGCAGGCTGATTACACAGACACCATAGCACTCAGTGAACGTCATCTTGCACACGAGTTCTCCACCCAGGAGTCAGCTGTGAGCTTCTGAGAACAGCAGAGGTTTTGTGGTATTTAGAAACAAGATGTTACTCTATCTTAGAGAGAGAGATGATGAAGAGACTGTGTGTGAAGCATGAGCTAGTGACTGCACTAAGTGTAAGGAGCTGTGATACTAATGACAGGGAGCATGTGGGCAGGAGGAAATGAGATCAAAGGTTTGCTGGAGTTAGAGCAAAATATGGTAGAGTTTACAAAACCACAAAGTCAATTTGAAATTAATTCTTTGTTGAAATAGAATGAGGTGAAATTGCTTTTCCTATAGAATAGTTGGAGGAAAGCAAACTCTTCCCTGTTCCTTAGCCCCATGAAAATGATTCATGTTTTGAATTAGCCCAGTAGGATCAGAAAATGTTTGCAACCTGAGAGATGTAGCACTGTGGTTTATTGGGAACTTTTCAGTGCTAGTTTGCACCTGGGAACTAGCCCTGTTTACCCTTCTCACCTGTTTCTTTCCATCTGAAGGACCAGAAATCCACTGTGATCTCTCTGAAGAAGCTGATTGTACGAGAAGTGGCTCATGAAGAGAAGGGATTGTTCCTGATTAGCATTGGCGGAAAAGATCCCGAAATGGTGGAAGTCCATGCCAGCTCCAAAGAAGAGCGTAACGGCTGGATACAGATCATTCAGGACACAATGAACACCATGTAAGTTACCCAGCTATTCTTGCAAGGCAGGTGGTGCATGGTCACGTTCCTGTAGTAACTGAGACATGTCTCTTGTCCAGGAATAGAGATGAAGACGAAGGAGTCCCTTGTGAGTCTGAGTTTGAAAAGAAATTGCCCGATGCAAAAGTGAGAGGACTGAAAGGTAAAATCCTGCCCAGGACAGAGCCGGGGAGAGGTTTTAGAAAAATGTACAGCAATTTGGGGGTTTATGTGGTCAAACTTTGACTTTTTTTTTTCACATGACTAAGAATCCTGCATACAGCAAGTAATTGCAGTCCTGGTTTGCAGCTCACCTTCCTCTCATTATTTTTTTCTGAGCCCGCTGGGTGCTGCTGCTGTGCTGGATTGCACGGGGCACAGTCGTGTTGTGTCAATAGGTGCTGCCAAACCCAGCACATATTGTCAGGTTCCACTAGATGGGGCCAATATCTCAGGAATCGCTCAAGCTTCCTTGCCGAAGCTTTTACTGTCTCTTCATCTCTGTTTTGTGTTCCCCCTGACAGAACAACTTCAGCAGAAGGATAAGCAGATCCTGCTCTTGCTGGAGGAGAAGGCAAAGATCTTCCAGGACATGACAGACAGCTCTGTGCAGGAGGACATGCCAGGCTCCAGGCTGCTCTTCAGAGCCAACACAGAAGAGGCTCCAAAAGGAGAGGCCATTATGAAAACTGCAATAAATGAAGGTGAGTTAGTCAGAGTGACACATAAATTACAGTAACCAACAGACCCTTCAGCTTCAGTGAAGACATCAGTTCTCATGCACCAGTTTTTCAGGGAAACTCTTCTAGTTTTCGGAACAACAGCACAGATCAGAAGATACTACTACTTAGTATTGTCTCAAGGGACAGGTCATGAGGATTAGGAAAGGAAGCAGATACTGGTGGGTGTTGAAAGAGGGCAGAGAAGTCAGCACAGAGAACAACCACCATTGAACCTGTGCTGGGGTCAGGAGCAGGACAGGATTTGTCCTTGACTGAAATTTGGACTATCCAGGCTTTTGCTGTGCTTCAGCCTCAGCAAGGGGTGAGAGTGGGGCTCAGGTTCCAGCAGGTGCTTGTGGTGCCTGCAAGGAACAAGCAAGTCTGTTGACAAAGGCCAGGGTAAATGGAAACTCAGGCAACTTTCCAGTGTGATTTTTGGCGAGGCTAAAAATTATTAAAAGCTGTTGTCAGAGCACATCAGGGTTGCCTGGAGGAAGAGAGGGAGGTGTTAGCCAGTACAGAGCTCCAGGAACTGAAGTTAATGGTCAGACAGAATTAGTTTTTGCAGGGGCAATGCGTACTGTTCATATCATTGTCATAGAAACCTGTGTTCTTGGTACAACAAAGAATTTCTGACCTGAGCTGAGGCAGGGATGAAAATAGCTCAGAAGCCTGAGGTGGCCTTTAACAGAGTCATCACTGCTTTTTATTAGTTGAACTGCTGCAAGACCTGGTGAACAGGAGTCTGGGCACTGTCCTCGAACAGCAAGTCAGCACCACTGCCATGGAACAGGAAGGAGGAGTTGGCCCCATCTCTCTCCCTAGAAGGGCAGAAACTTTTGGAGGATTTGACAGTCATCAGATGAATGCCTCTAAGGGTGAGTAGTTACGTGTGAGCACATCAGTCTTTGTTAATAATGCATGTCATTGGATCCTCTTGCTTCAAAAGGACTTCAGCAGCTGGTGATTTGGGTTTCCCAGCTCCTCTCCGATAAGAGCTGATAGATTAAACCAGAGATTAGGAAAAAAGCCTATGTATAGGTGGAATGGTGGAGGCTGAGAACCCATGGCTACATGAGGATTAAATGTCTGAACTCACTCCTCTCTCTCTGTGCTCTCACTAACTCATCCTTGCTCCTTTACTTGTGTGCCACATGAAAGCGTTTGGCTGCTCAATAGATTAGTTTCTTCGTGTTATTAGTGTAATATCTGCAGCTCTGTTCTTTGTTCTTCACTTATCTTCCAGCAGGAGCCTGGTGCTGTTGCATTTGCACATGGATGAGGATATTGCTGAATCAAACATCTTCTCCCTTGTCTCTGCTCTCTCTGCATTTGTGTTCCACCTACAACTGCTTGTGTTATTCCTGCAATTAAGTCTCTCCCAAAGAAATGTGTGACTATTTATTTCAGCTGCATAGTTGGCTGCTTCCCAATGCTCTCTTTCTTTGCTCTACTCATCAGAAACTTCCCTGTCCTCAAATTCCTTTCTCTGTGGTCTCACTCACTCTCCCAATACAACCAGTTTCGCTGTGCTAGTGTCTGTCTCAGCATTGGGATTGTTGGACCTTGTCTGACCTCCTGCATTAAAGGAGCAGTGTTAGCCCCAGACAGTCAGACATGAGAAGTATGTAGAGGCTTTCCTAGTTCTATTGGAGAGTTGCAAAGCCCTCAGAAGGCCTTGTCATCATAATGACAAATATATTCACACTGGATGGGTTTGTTTAGGGTTGTGCAATGATGAATGGGACAACCTCAGACTGTTTGTTGTCCAGCTCTAGGTTTTCTGTGGAAAACTCTCTTTTGAATTAGGTTCTAATTCAGTGGTTGTAGAGTATTGGGAGATTCTGGGAAAAGAATGTAGGGCCTGTTTGTTCAGCTGGAGACCAGGAGGCATGAAACCTGGCTTTCATCTGCAGTTCACAACCTGTGAAACCTTGGGCAAGGCTTATAACCTGACTCCCCTTCATTGTCCGCTCCTGCGAAGCAGAAGGGAGGTGTTTTCTCCTGCAGAGAGGTGGAAGGCTCCAGGATGTGGTGCAGGAGAGCAGGTCTGTTAGGAGGACTTGTGGGTCAGCCTCTAATAGCAAAGCCTGCCTGGGGGGTGGTGGGAGCAGAGGGCCTTTGCACTAGGTGTGCTGCAGATTCAGGTGTATGTAAAGTTGTTTATCATCAAAAAGGTGCCAGTAGGGAGGTTGCCACTGCACATGTGGGTTTTCCCCATGGGCTGCATCTCAGTTGGCAAGGGGAGTAAAAGAGTCATGGCAAAAGCTAGAGGACAGAAGGTCCCTGTGACTCCTTTGCTGCCCCTGAGCAGAAGGACAGCACAGGGGGAGGGTTTTACAGCCCTTCTGTCCCCACAGGTCAGTTCAGTCCTGCTTCGGAGCACTGATAGGAGCCATCCAGGGGGAAGTTAGAAAGAGAAGTCCAGTGTCCCTTTGAAGATCTAGTTTCTGATAACTAAGGTTAATGATAAATTGTTAGCATAGAATTACACAAGGTGTTGCACAGCAGTATCTGACCCAGATGTAAATTAATTTGCACAAGAGAGGCATTGAAACTATACCTGCAATAATATACCCTGATATGATTCTGTTATCGTCCTCCATCTGCTCTTACTCTGCCTCATGTCTTCTCAGCAAGTATTCTGTGGTAGTAGACAGCAATGTGGGGGCTGGACAGAGCAGCAGTTAATAGCAGTGTGCCAAATTTATCAGCATGTTCTCTGAAACCAAAGTCAATCCTAATCTTAAATTCACATCCACTTTTTTCTGGTGGTGCTGACGTGTTCCATACATTTAGGGAGCAAATGCATTTAGTTAAAGTGTCTAAAGCTCTGTGTCACCTTTTGTGAAACATTGGAGTTTCCTGTATTAAATTTCTCAGACTTCAGCAAGTTCATCTATGACTTCAATGTTGACTAAGCAGTGTCAATCCTGACTTCTTCCTTTAGGTGGAGCGAAAGATGAAGGTGACGATGCTCAGGACCTTCGGAGGACAGAGTCAGACAGCATCTTAAAGAAGGTATAGCTTGGTTTATCTGTCTGCAGACACTGAGTTCAGATTTGCAAGAGAGTGACAATTCTAGTTTTGAAAAATTGCCATTGGATTACTTGGCACTTAGATATATCCTAAGAAGTTAAAAATAAAACAAAATTGGAAGTATGCAACCAAAACCACTTTTCTGTAGCTAAAATCCTGACTTGGAAACGGTTGCAAATCAGTTGTATTCCTTGGTGGCACAGGTTATCTACCATCTGTCTGCAGAGCAGCCAAAGCATGTGTTTAATTATGCATCATTATTGAAATGATAAGGTCAGCTATAACCTTGCACCTATTCTTCCTGGGGATCAATCCATCACATAACTGCAAAATGATACCTAATTAACATTTTATTGTATATGATTCTAACTTGTCTAAAAAACATGCATGAATTCTCCCAGAATGGAAAGTGGAGGGGGGTGTTTAATGGGTATGTCATTAGTTCAGCTTCAGAACACATTTGCTGTGATTTTTCATTGTCCTCATATTAAATTTGTGATCTTGTCCTAGGGTGGAAGTGCTAATCTGATGTTCATGTTTAAAAGGAATAACGAGGTAAGAATTGATTCCATTGCTCAGCTGTTTCCTTCATTTAAGTGGCAAGTGAATTTGTCTCAATAGGTGATAATGTAGAAGAAAACACATTTCATTTGCTGAAGCGCATGTAGACTTTTAAATGCATTAAGCTGAACCCACTGTGTCATTCATTTGTTTAACCTTGGATGTTCAGGCAGAAAATTTGCTGATTGTCATCTGGCTTGCCAGCAGGATGATATGTGCTGATTATAGGCAGCAAGGGTTAATTACCACCAGGAGGCACAGGGCTGTATTTATTGTGCATCTGCAGACAGAGAGAGTTTAATTTTATGTTGCAGGTGCAGTGAATTGGGGCAATTAGATTTCTATTCTCCCTTTGATACACATTCATAACTCCCAATTAGCATTAATGGGACAGTGAGAAGCAGTTCTCTTACTAGTGGCTATCACACCACTATGGCAAATACTGCAGTGGTTTTTCTTCTTCTTAAAATAATTGTAGGATATGAGAGATTCAGAGAATTTTTAGCTAGACTAAATTTAGGGATAGGGCATTGCTCCAAAGTGGCTTGCTGTGTATTGATGCATGAGGTGTTTGCATTTACCTGTATTTTCAGAGCCTCCATGAACACACCTGCTGCAGTGCAGCTTTTCTGTTTAATGGCAGTGGGGCTTGTATGGGTCAGCCAGGGTAGAGTGTACAAATAGTCCACATTCATTTAAAATATTTTTTTGCCCCTTTGAAGTTTTTTTCCTGAAATATCTAAGTGAACTGCTGGGTTTCATCCCAGTTACTCTGCTGGTCCTTAGGCAAGCTCATGCTGTGGGAAATGGTTGACAGAGACAACCTAGGGCTTCCCCTGAGGTGCCTCTGCAGGTGTTTCTTCCCCTGCCACACTGACAGCTAGGGAGGGAGGAAGGTGTTGTCAGGCACCTCTGGAAGATGTCCAAGGGTTGAATTTGTGTACTGAGGGATGACACAGTCATTGCAGGTGAAGAGTGAGGGAAAAGAAGGTGCAGAGGTATGGCCATACAGCTTGTCAGACTCACCAGGGTGTCACAGAGGAAAGAAAGGTGCTGTACATATACCCCAGCATCCAGTGGGACCTAATAGCAACGCTTTTGTTTTCTTGCAGCAGGTCCTTCAAACCATTACCAGCCTCCATAAGCTGCTCAATGCTTTGCAGGTAGGCTTAGCCCTTCATCCTGCTTCTGCATGCTGCTTGCCTGAGTTGTTAGTCAGACTGCATCCCCCATCTCCTCTTCTTTGCCCATCACATCTCTGCATGGCTGAACACCCCAGGGCCAGCTTGCAGGCAGTGTGCTGGCAGGACGTGGGAATTAACTGCTGGGGGAGGTGCTTTGACATCATCCTCTGGTAGCCCAGCTGTAAGGCTGCAGCGCTGGGCTTGAGGTTGACCAGAGAAGAAGGGGTTCAGTACAGCACCCTGCAGTTTTCAGAGGTAGATCTCTCTCCATGGAGAGGACACTGCAGTGATTTCTGTCCCTGTCTCCTAGGGTGTTGTGCTCCAGCAGGACACCTACATTGAGGACCAGAAGCTGGCTCTGAGCGAGAGGGCTGCGAGCCGAAACTGCCCCCGGCCAGCGTCGCTGCTGGAGCAGGAGAAACAGCGCAGCCTGGAGAAGCAGCGCCAGGAATTGGCCAACCTGAAGAAGCAGCAGGCACAGCACCAGGAGGAGAGACGGAGGAGAGAGAAAGAGTGGGAAGTCCGGGAGAAGGAACTGGCCCAGCAGGAGGCTCACCTGGCCCAGCGTGAGGAGCAGGTCCAGAAAGGGTGGCAGGATCTGGAGCGTGAACGAGAGGAGCTGCAGGTGAAGAAAGCTGCCTACCAGCTCGACCTGGAGAGGCTTCGCACGGCACAGAAGCAGCTGGAGAGGGAGAAGGTGCAGCTCAAGCAAGATATGGAGCAGTTAGCTCAAATGCGGCAGCAGTCTGACTACAACCAGGTAAATGATGCCAATGGGCAGGCTCCTGGGCAAGTTCCTTTGTGTAGGGAGCTCCTGGCCAATTCCTGGGTCAGCTGCATGCCTGCAGGGATGGACTGGTGCCAGTCCAGCCCTAGACATGTGGGGCCTCATATTTAAAACTGCTGCTTTCCTTGCACGTGACATGCAGAGCTGTGTTTCTTGCACCTCTGGAGCTGCTGAGGCACTGCCAGTGTTGGTGTGATGTGGTACATCTGGGGTGCCTGGCCAGTGCTGAGTGCAGCCCCCACTGGGTTACCACAGCCTGAGCTCTACCTGCTTCCCTGTGCCACGTTTTGGGGGATGGCAGAGTGGAGGTGGCTGGCTCCCAGAGAAGATTCCCTAGGCAATCCCAGGAGGTCAATACAGCCTTTGATGTTGGCCTTCACCCCATGAGGGCTGAGCTTGGGGGAGTGGTCAGGCAGAGGAGACATCCTTCTCTGAAACAGCCTGAGCACTGGTGGTTACCTGCACCCTCCAGCAGTCAGGAAAACCACTTGTGAGGCTGGTAACTGCAGGAGAAGGCTGTCTGCATGCTGACAGCCATCTCCAAAAGCATTCTCAATAGCTAGCAAAGAGATGGGCATTGCCCCTGACCTAAAGAGACTGAGCTCCTGCAGTCTGATTGTGGCTCAATGAGCAAAGGTCCCTGACTCTGCTAAAGAGGCTTCTGGTGCCTGGCTGCCCACAACCACAAAGAAAAGCCCACACACAGGTCCTGCTCTGTGCATTTTTCAGCAAGCTGGGGTTTATTTCTTCATAACTGTGCAGCAGTCTGGCTTAGGAAAGCAACCACCATTGGCAAAAAACGGGCTGAATTTAATCCTTAAGCCTGTTGATCATTTGTTTGTTTGTAACTCACTATTCTGACTGTAATTTGCTTAGAGCTGTAGCAAAATTAGTTTATAAATGTTGGATTGTGGAATGGAAATTATTTTGGGTGCCTGAATGGACTAATTGTGGAGCTGAGCAGTGAGCTCTGAAAAGCTAATCACCAGAGGAGGGCTTGCTCCCTCCCACCCTGTTCCTGATCAAGAGAGAAGTTTTCTGAGCAGCCAGTGAAGCTGTTCCAGCTTCAAGCACATGTAGACATGCGAGGGGCATGGATGCTGATGGAGAGGCTGAGGGGTAAAATGCCTGCAAGGCCTAGGGGTTTAGGAGAAGGAAGCACCTTTTCGAGGCAGGTATCTTACTGACATTTCAGAGCTATTAATAGAGGGTTCAGTGAGGCTTTGTTGGGCTGTTGTTTTGATCTTCCCTTTGAATGTGCAAGCTCAATTACATCCTGAGACAGCCGTTAGGGGAAAAAACATCAGGAAAAATATTTTTGCTTTCATCTTTTGCTTGGGAAGGCTTCCTTTGACACATGCCGCTCCTGTGCTGGGTGCTGGCGTTCTCCTCCTGGAGAGGTGCACGCTGCTCCTTGGCCTCCTGCCACCATCTGTGTGTGCAAACGATGCAGGGTGAGTCTTGGTATTGAGATCTTAGGGAATATTTGCCCGTGGCGTGTTGATACATAGCATAGTACATGTAAGAGCAAAAGATTGTGGAGTGTTACTCTTTATATGCCTCGTTTCTTCATCTTAAACAGAGAGGGCTTTTCTCTCTTTGCTTTGCCTGGATGGGGATCACATTTTATCTGGTGAATGGGCTGGATGTTACCAAGAATAACCTCTATGAGTGGTCTGGGACACACCTTTCCTATCCAGATTCTGTGTTGCCTCTTTGATGAAACACTTATCTTTTTCTTTATAGGTTTCAAATTTACATGAGAAACTTGCAAGAGTGCCCTCCCAGTGCAGCATCGATGAATCCTCCAAGCAGAAGAGCCCTTCCCTTCCTAAACAAGGGCTCTTTGATGCAGAACTGTCTGTCTCCCCAAAAAAGTACAGTCTTTCAAGGACACACAAAGAGAAATGCACTTTCCATTTGCTTAGCACAACAAATCAGACTAACAAGGCAGCTGAGGAACAAACTCAGATGCCTTCTCGTCTCTTCAGTTTAGCCAAACCAAAGGAGAAGAAGGAAAAGAAGAAAAAGAGCAGGGGACATCGCTCCCATCAGTCTGGTGAGTGTCAGGGAAGGTCACAGGTGTGTTTCTCAGCGTCGGTCAGCTGGCTGCTTTCCTTCAGCCAGAAAACTTGCAGCAGCCACAGAATCTACCTTTGAATGTGGATGGTGACACAGGGATGGAGAAGTTCAGCTGTGCTGAGTAGAGTTCCCAGCCTGAAGTGATCTTCTATGGGCTTTTCTGCCAGAGGGACACACTCTGCTCATTGCTTCTTCCCTTCCCCATCCCGTCCTGAGCAGCCTGCAGAGGCTGGATTCTGTTTGTATTCCAGCATGCTCTGTTTTGAGGAGGAAAATGTCCTGCTTCAATGTCTGTGCTTTCAGGAGCTGCTGCTGGGATTCTCCTGGCTGTTGCAGCCCCTGCGGCATTGATTGTAGTTTGGAAGTGATACCCACAGCCCTTCTGGTGGCCTCTCCCTTCCCCTCCAGCTGGTCTATCTTCTCTCCTGATCTGACAAAAAAAACTATGCAAGTTTTTTTTCTCTGGTAGTTTTGCATCCCCTTAGAAGTCAGATCTCCACCTCAAACCTCTGACCTACGTGAAATTTGATCACATGCCCTCAAATGGTTGGTTTCATCCATGTTAACTCACTGATGTTTGCCAACTTGTGCACTGGAAAGCTCAGCCATTAAGATGTGATTTCATGGTAGCTCATCAGGGAACTGAACATTTTTTAAGGGGTTCAATGGGTTTGGCAGACAGCAGGGTTTTGTACACTCTTCCTGTTGTATCCCTGTGCTCCCATAGTGATTCCCACCTGGGTTTTTTTGTGCTGCAGATTCTCACTTGTCAGAAGCACCTCCGGAGGATGAGGAGATCTTCTGCTGAGCACAGACTCTTCCAGTGGTCACTCATGGCATTGGCACCATGAACATTTCCCTTTCTGTTACACAGTACATGGCTGATATCTGCATTGGACAAGCCTTTAGAGGTTTCAAGTGAAACAGGTCATCAAGATTGTTACGTGGTGGATGGAGAGACACAGCACGTGGCTGATTCCTGCATTGGACAAGACTTTAGAGTTTTCAAGTGAAACGTGTTATAAAAATTGTTAAGTGATTGATAAAGGTCTCTTTTTGGTTTTATGTGAATTCTCACCACAGAGGCTGACTGCAAGGCAAGTAGTACTGTCTGTGCAAACCTTGGGTTAAATGGGTTGGGATAGATGTTTTCTGTCTCTTCTTACTGCTAAAGAATGAGAGAACATAGCCTTAAGGGGTCTGTGCCTTCAACTTCCCCTTTTCTTGGGGAACATAACCAAAACCAAGCATTTAGCAAAAGATTAGGACTCTACAAATGGTGCGTACACACTGGCATATATAGACATACTGTACATATACATATATGTATCTATGTATCCACTGGGATATGCTTACAGTCTGTACAGCCAGGCTCGGCCCGTGGGGATAGATGATACCTGATGACTTTCAGGGAGCATGTAGATATTAAATATCTTGCCCTTCCTGCTCCAGTTGTAATGCCAGTGACCTGCACTCCCCTTTCGTGCTCATGGGATATGGACTGGTTGGTTTCAGAAAGGTCCCTTACACCAGGAAGCAGTAATGGCATTCGAAAACAGCAACTCAGAGGGAAAAAAAAGAAAATTTGAATTAATTCTGAAAGATTTCCATGGGGCAGAGGATTTAAATGTCGAACCGTTTGCCAGAGTCAAGCAGAATGTCTTTGGGGGTATTTAAAGTGGTGCAGAAAAGAGACATTTGGTGGGCTGGTAAGGCAATCCCTGGGAGCCAGAACAGGCAGTGTTCAAGTGGGAACAACTCTAAGCAACATTTTTTTACACAATCTCTTTGAGCTCCAGCTCACTCCTTCCCATCTTCACGATTTTTTTTGCTGGAACATAATTCTCCAGTTGCATTTGACATCCCTTCATTGGAAGTCTGATGACTTACTGGAAGGATGGCTGAAAATCTGCTTTTAGGGACCTTTGTTCCGTTACTTGTATTTTTCTTCCCCCGCTTTTTGTGCTGCTGTTGAGCTTTGTTTCTGTGGATTTTGTCAGCTTCCCTTCCCTGTTTCTAAGGCAGAATGAGACAACAGCAGTCTCAGGGCACTCCAGAGAGATGTCTGGTCAGGGGCCTGGGTGCTGTGAGCAGAGCAAGCTCCAAAGAGATGGCTCCAATTCCAATGCCTCTACCATACTGTGTACCATGCACTTTGTAACATGACTGGGGAGAAAAATACTCTCATGGTCAAACCCACCGTGGGACAGGTCCAAAGGTGCAGCATGGCAGGTCACTGTGGGCTCTAGGGTGAAAGTGTCCCTGTGTCCCCATGTTGCCACCAGCAGAAGGGAAATGTCCGAGGGCTCTCACTGTGCTGTGAGCTGTTTGTACAGCTGTTGGACACAGAGATGTGTTCAGCGGGGGAAGAGAAATGCAGCAAGCCAAACTTCTCCAAAATGATTGTTCTTCCAAACCCTCTCAGGAGAATTGCCCGAGTGGGTTTGTAACTGGTTATGAGACACTATCAGCTTCGAAAGAACTCAAGGGTTTGCTCAGAGTTTGAAGCTGTCAAGTGTGTTTCCTTTCCTACCAGGGTTTTTTTCTGTAAAATAACAAATCATTTCTCTTCTTGCACTATTGTTTGATTTCAATTTGCTCTCTGGCTCCTCAAGAGCTGCTAACCCACAGCAGCTTTCAGAGTTCGTGCTGATGAGTATCAGCAGCATTGAGGGTGAGGTGAATGCTTAGACTGGGCTGCCTTGGTCAGTGCAGGAGCCTTCAAGCACCTGCTTGCTTTTGAAGCTCTCTATTAAGACTCAGAAAAAAAAGAAAAGAAGAAAAGAAAAAGGTTTGAGATTTATTTTATTTTGCTTTTTTAATGTTATTTGGTGCTTGTTCTTAATTGCAAGCAGGGCTTGCAAAAATATTTATCTTTCTGTTTATTTGAAAGAGTTCTTTTTTTAAAAAGAAGTTTACTTGGGTTTATTTTTTTATTTCTTTTCATTTTTGCTTTTGTTGGGGGATGGTTTGGGGTTTTTTTTCTCTTCCTCCCCACCCCCCTTGGTTTTGGTTTCTTTTGTTTTCTTACCAAAAGATTGGTAAACCAAACTTCCTTACCTCCCTGGTTCCTACAAACCCAGGATTTAGGCAGTGCTGCTTTGCAGCTCATGCCATGCCCAGAGTTACACAATGTCAACTGAGAGCTTTCTTTATTAAGGCAGAGCATCTTGAGGCCAAAAAAGGTCTGGAAAAAAACACAGTGACTTCAGACAAGGCTCCTCCTATTAGTTACTTTCCTGGTTTCAATATTTTGGTTAGGTTTTCTTATACCTTTTGGAGGCAAAGGAAAAAGCAAAGCATTGAGTGTCTTGCAGTGATCTGAGGGTGCAGGGAGATATCAGCAGCTCCTCTCCTGAATCCAAGGGGAGCTGAAGGAAGCATGTGCTGGTGGTGTGGTGTTATCTTTCTCATAAGAAAACCACCAATTTCAGAAAAGAACTTCTGCCTTGCTATTTATACATCTGCAAACATGAATGTGCCAAGCTGAAATTTTTGGAAACCAAAGCAGTGTGTGGCTCATTTAGTGCTGTGTGAACAGAGATCAGGGCCCCAGTATGTTTGAGAGTTCTCCTCAGTTAGAAACAGCCGTTGCCACTAGGAGCTTTACTTTTTATCCCACTGGTTTTTTTCCCCAGTCTCAACACATCTTGGATTCATGACATGCAATGTCCCATGGCTCTGAGAAGGGCATCAAACAGCAGATGCCTGACTCAGGGGAGCAGGGCTGGGTCTCTGCCTGGCTTCACCATTTGTGCAAATCAAACACAGCATTCAGTGCCCCAAGTGAAAATACTATTTGCTAATCGATCTCCAAAGGTCCCTGTAGTTCCTTGACAGAAATACACTGATCAGAAATAGTGCATATCAAAGCTGTTCGTTTCTTAAATTCTGGTGGGCAGACCTTTGTCCCTGGAGGATGTCTGTTACTGTAATGATTCACTTTTTTGGAATGAAGCCTTTCCTCCCACACTGCTTCCGCCTTCTTCCACCTTTAGGAACGTAAGGGCTTGTTTTTATCTCTTTAGTCTTTTATTTTTCTCCTCTCAGGTTTTCTTTGGAAAGGCTTGGCATAGGTTCCCAGAGTCAGCTTGCCTAGGGTCGTCTGCTAGAGTATGGTCCCAGCTCTACAGCACCAAAGCCTTTCCTCTTTCTGGCCTTAAAATTGCATTTTCTCCAGTTCCATGCCTGGCATCCATCCTGCAGTTGTTGAAAGCATGTTATTTCTTCAGCAGTCTTATGCTGTGTCTGGTTTCCAGAGCCAGTCCCTTGATCCCATTCGGAGCACCCAAACCACCTTGTTTTGCATTGGTTTCCTGGGACACAGAGCAGGTTCAAAAATGCCTCTGCAAAGCCCATATTGTTGGAGGGAGAAGACCCTGTAAGGGTTCTCAGAGCTGTTTGTGCTGGGTTTTCTTGTCTTGGTGTTTGCCAGTGCCCAACAGGAAGGGTTTCAGTGCCCAGGGAATGTGGGAGTGTGGGCTCAGGTGAGGTACAGAAGTGGTCAGTATTAGCTAGGGGTGCCAGAATACCCCAGAGATAGAGAGTAGCTGTAGCAAAGGGTGAGAGACTCGATGGAGTTGTGTGAGGTTGGCCTTAGCTTCTTTTAAATGAAGTGATCATCTCAACATGTAACTTGATGTCAGTTTGACGCCAGAAAGCACTTTAAATTGAACTGGTCTTGTCCCTTTTTATTTTGGTTATGTGGAGACAATCAGCCTTGCCATTGCTTCCCCCTCTGCATCCCCAGCAAAATCTGTGCTGCAAATAGGCATATTCCTGGTTTGGTTTGGCTTTACCCCAGGAGGGCCAAGCTTTTTTAGACCAAAGTGGGTGTGAATCTGACTACAGTCCCACTGCAGATAGGTTAATGGCAGGACAAGAGAACTGGCTTCTATTGCTCAGGTATATCCTCTGGGAGAGCCCTTGATAACATCACCACCATCTTCCTCACAGCTGGTAGGGAAGCAGTCCCACCAGTGGTTTGCCCTCCATCTCCTTTTCCTTGGAGAAACTCAGAGCAAAGGAGATGTGGGGGGATGCATCCAAATAAGTAAAGTGAAGCCCTTTCCATGCACTAAGTTACTTACTGTCCAGGCTGCTGGGAGACTCCCCAGGTGCCATCCCCAGGGCAGGAGTTCTGACCACTGCTGAGGACTCTTCACTCCTGAGCTGTGAGCAGTGCTGGGAAGCACAGAAATGCTGTTAGCTTGTGCAGATTTGTACTGCCTTTTGAAGGCAAGAGCATCCATAGAGTCCAATCATCTTTGCACCTTCCTTGAGTCACTAGGATATCTCACAGCTGCTGCTGAAACACCCAATTCTAGTCCTTCCAAATGCCACCGAGTCAGAAGAGGTTCTTCAGGTGCCAAATCCCAAGGAAGCTGTCTAAGATACCTGTGGCACAGAGCAAGAGAGGACTGGGCAGGGGGCACAGGAGAGTATCTGCTAAAAACCCACAAAACATTCCTTGTTAATCAGAACTCTGGAAATTATTCTCCCTGCTGGCCAGGTTTGGGAATTTAACATAATTTAGGGCACCCTTTTAAATCAAAAAACCTCCCGTGCTGCTCATAACTCTTGCTACATTTGTCAGAAGGGGCAGCAACCCACGATTCTTCATCTGGTGATACAGCTAATTTTTAAAGATAGGCGAGCTGAACTGGCTAAACCTCCTACACCTCATGCTCTTCAGTGATGGGAAGCATAATGCTAACTCCCTTCCCACCTGCATTTCCAGGGCTCCATGCCCTTGCCTTCCACATGCATTTCACTGACACTGATGCTTTGCCCAAATATATTCAGCTT